GTCGAGGAGCTCGTGTTATCATCAATCGAGCTGAAGGGAATTTGGTATTCTAGGGAGTTGAAACTAATAACGGAATTCCAATCATTTCAATGATTCACGTTGAAGGGTTAGAGTGGAAGGGGCCTGAAGCATATGTGGCAACCATCTCTATTGAGGGAGGAGAAATTGGTGTAGAGTTGGATGACATTCCTGTAGCAGCAGAGTACGGAGATGTTTTTGAACCACTTAAGGGACCACCACCCAATAGAGGAGATGCATTCACAATTGAGTTGGAACCAGGAACCGCCCCGATATCCAAGGCGCCGTATCGTTTAGCTCCAACAGAAATGGCTGAACTGAAGAAGCAGTTAGAGGATCTTACAGACAAGGGGTTTGTGAGACCGAGTAGTTCTCCATGGGGAGCACCTGTTCTCTTTGTAAAGAAGAAAGATGGAACTTTCAGACTTTGCATAGACTATCGTGGATTGAATAAGGTGACTATTAAGAATTAGTATCCCTTACCACGTATAGATGAGTTGTTGGATCAACTGCAAGGAGCATCATGGTTTTCGAAGATAGACTTAGCATCAGGTTACCATCAGATTGGCATTGCAGAGGAGGATGTAAGAAAAACAGCATTCAGGACACGTTACGGGCATTATGAGTTTGTGGTCATGCCTTTTGGATTGACTAATGCCCCTGCAGCTTTTATGAAACTTATGAATAACGCGTTTCGGGAGTTTTTCGACAAGTTTGTCATTGTTTTTATTGATGATATTTTGATCTACTCAAGGAGTAAGGAGGAGCATGCCAAGCACTTAAGATTAGTATTGCAGACGTTGAGAGATCAGAAACTTTTTGCAAAGATGGCAAAATGCAGCTTTTGGCAAAAGCAAATTGGATTCTTGGGCCATGTTATTTCAGAGGCTGGAGTAGCTGTTGACCCCGAGAAGATTACAACTATCACTCATTGGCCTAAACCTAAGAATGCTACAGAGGTTCGTAGTTTTCTTGGCCTCGCTGGATACTATCGAAAATTTGTAGAGGGATTTGCAAGTATGGCCAAACCGTTGACACAATTGACATGTAAGGAGACAAAGTTTGAGTGGACAGATGCATGTGAGAAGAGTTTTGAAAAGTTAAAGGAGCATTTAACTCAGACGCATGTGTTGGTATTACCTAAGGTTGGAGTACCTTATGTTCTTTATACAGATGCATCAAAAATTGGGCTAGGATGTGTTCTTATGCAGGATGGTAAAGTCATAGCATATGCTTCTAGACAGTTGCGGAAACACGAGAATAATTATCCTACTCATGACTTAGAGTTAGCTGCTGTGGTTTTTGCTCTTAAGGTTTGGAGAGCCTACTTGTACGGGGAGAAGGTGCAAGTATTTACTGATCATAAAAGTCTGAAGTATATTTTCACACAAGCTGATTTGAATTTGAGACAGAGGAGATGGGTGGAACTGCTTGCAGACTATGATTTGGATATTGCTTACAACCCAGGAAAAGCTAATCAAGTAGCGGATGCTCTCATTAGAAGAAGAGGTGATGTGAGTAGAACCAAGGAGGTGCAAGAGCTTGTTTCAGCTTTATCATGCCTGAATATTTGTGAGGTCTTGGTCGACGACGATGTAATGGGTTTAAAAGCGGTAAATCAAGCTGACTTATTATGGAGAATTCGTGAGGCACAAAAAGAAGATGTTGATCTAAGGCAATTAGTAGAAACTGAAGTTGTGGGTTATCATACCACAGAGAATGGAACATTTGTTTTTAAAGGTCGAGTGTGTGTCCCAGATAATAAAGATCTAAAGGAAGAAATCTTGAAGCAAGCACACCAGTCGCGTTTCGCCATTCATCCAGGTTCTACCAAGATGTATAGAGACTTGAAAAGGTATTATCATTGGAAGGGGATGAAGCGAGATGTAGCAGAATGGGTAGCAAAATGCACGACTTGCCAGTTGGTAAAAGCGGAACACAGGAATCCAAGTGGTCTTTTACTGGGTTTACCGTTGCCAGAATGGAAATGGGATATGGTGACTATGGATTTTGTCACAGGACTTCCAATGACAATAAGTAAGCGAGATGCAATTTGGGTAATTGTTGATAGACTTACAAAATCGGCACATTTTCTAGAAGTGAATAAAAAGGACACGGCCGAACGCTTAGCTCATAAGTATTTGGATGAGATAGTGAAATATCACGGAGTTCCTGCTAGCATTGTTTCCGACAGAGATCCAAAGTTTACATCATTATTTTGGAAAGCATTTCAGAAAGCTTTGGGGACTAATGTACAGTTGAGTACAGCTTATCATCCACAGACAGATGGTCAATCTGAACGGACAATTCAGACATTGGAGGACATGCTTAGAGCTTGTATGCTGGACTGGGGAGGTCGTTGGGAAAAATATTTACCTTTGGTGGAGTTTGCTTACAACAACAGCTATCATTCGAGCATAGGTATGCCACCATTTGAGGCTCTTTATGGACGACCTTGTCGCACACCACTTTGTTGGACAGAAGTGGGGGAGCGTCGAGACATTGAGCCTGAAATAATTCAAGATACAACTGAGCAAGTGGTGCTGCTTAAAAACAGATTAAAAGAAGCTCATGATCGTCAGAAGAGTTATGCAGACAAGAGACGAAAAGATTTGGAATTCGAAGTTGGAGACTTGGTGTATCTGAAAATGAGAATGTTTAAAGGCCTAAACCGTTGGGCTAAGAGAGGAAAGCTTAAGCCAAGATATATGGGACCTTATCCTATCACAGAAAGAATTGGAGCTGTGGCTTACCATTTAGACCTACCAGATGAATTAGCAGCATTTCACGATGTTTTTCATGTTTCTGTGTTGAGGAAGGTGGTAACAGAACCAGAGCTTATTGTTTCACAGCCACCAGAGGACCTCGAATCAGATTTGTCAGTAAAAGGAAAATCGATATCAGTGGTTAGTCGCAAAGAGAGTGGCTCTCTAGGAAAGAAAGCTAAGACAATTCAAGTTTGTTGGGAACGGGA